TTGCATGAATTCATTTATATGAATTGTCCTGAAAAGTCAAATCTATAGAGACAGAAGTAGATAGGTGGTTACCCAGAGTAGAGGCGTGGGATATGGAGTGCTTGCGAATCAACACAAACAACATTTTTGGGATGAAATGTTCTACAATAGGATTGTGCTGATGGTTGCAAAACCTCTGGGAATTGACTAATAAATTGCTGAATGTTATACTTAAAATGGATTAAGTTTATTGTATGCAAATTATACCCCAATAAAGCTCTGAACAGTTGCACTTCGGGCAACCAAGGAATCCAGTCAAGAATCGAGGGAATGGTAGATCAGCCTGGATTGCTAGTTAATCAGTAAAATAACTCTGATATAAAAATTGTAAAATCGTTATAAATCCTTAGAACATCTTTCTCAAGCTGATTGAGAATGGTTCCCTGAACCCTTCTCTCCTCCCACGCCAACCCTCCACATGGGGTAGTTGAGATTATTCTGATTTCACACACAGATGGTGAACCTGATAGTTTTGAGCCTGATGACTCGGGGGAAGGCTCTGACATTTAACCCTTTCATGGACCACGGGATATAGATGCCGTGTTACATTTTCCATCCCTGGAGGTTCATTGGCAGGCATTTCAGCCACGTTAGTACGTTCTGGCCTCGTGGCCGATACTGGTACAACTGCCTAAAAGACAAGAAAGTTGATCTGCCCCGCATTTGAGTGTCAAGAGCCATTCGTATGAGGGGATGCTTCCTGGAAGAGTGTTTGTGGGAAACTTTGTGTCTTTTGACTTCTGTACAGTGAGATAAGGTCTGCAGGAGTGTTTACTATTTCCTATGTGTTATTAGAAAGGTATGATATTCAAGTAAATGAGTTATTTTTCAGGTGAAAACAGTGTGTGATGCATGTTCTGGGCCATGGGACAGATATGTCCCACGAGTGTGATGTGCTTCAGGGAACATGGTACCCATATGGCCCACTCTCAATCAAACTGGTAACAATTATGTACAGCAAGTGTAATGTTTACTTAGTATTTTGTGTATTTTTGGGAAGTTGATTAAGATGTTTTATGGCTCAAGTGTAACCAGAAAGTGTGATGTGCCCTGGGACCGATATGTCCCGTGTGCATCGTGTGCTTCATGGAATGGGGGACCGATATGTCCCGCATGCATTTAGCACCCCATTTTTTTCAAATAATAAAGAGCTACCAATAAACAAGGATTCAGTATCCATTCCCTTAGTGGAAATACATGACATCACCAAATTAAAAAAAACAGCAACACACATTTATCCACGAAAGGGTTAATATATTCCAGATTCTGCAGGGTAGCCTTGGTTTGGGTTTGGGCCAGGGTTCAGACTTAATGCTTCTGTGTTGCCAGATACAGAGAAAAGAGATTGACAAGAGGGAAATGGGGAAGAGGACAGGGAGGTAAATTCAGGTGCAGGGAAAGGGTAAATCCAGGTGTGCCCTATAAATTACAGGTGGCCTTTCTCACTGACTCCTGCATGTTTTCAAGGAGGACTGGTGGCACAAGGGTTCAACACTCGACTGTTACCTGAAGGGTTGGCCATTTGATCCCACCTGTAGCTCTGAGGTAGGGAAAAGACATGTTGATCTGCTTCTGAAAAGATTACAGCCTAGAAAACCTTATGGGGCACTTCTACTCTGTCATGTGGGGTCGCTATGAGTAGGAATCAATTTGACAGCACACAACAACTGCATGTTTTTAGGAAGTCGCTAGTTTAGGAGAGTAGAAGTCATCTAAGTTTGATAAATAGATGGATGCCTGCTGTCAAGTGGACTCCACCCCACGGCGACCCCGTGAACAACAGAATGAAATGCTGTCTGCTCCTGTACCGTCCTCACAATCACCAGAAGTATGGGCTCCTTATTTCTCTAAAAAAAGGCATCCCTTTTTCATTTCTTAAATCAAACTTCACAGTAAATTCTGTCCATGAAATATGAAATATGTTTTCTACAAATGAAATATGACTCAATAACCAAAAAGACAGTGAGCTAATTTGACACAGAACTAAATTTAGACTGTTTTTTAGGCATTTAAAGACAGTAGAATTTTTGGAAATGAACAGATTTTTGTGTTCAAGTCTGTCGTTGGGGTTGTTGTGTCAGTCCATCTCACGGAAGGTCTCCGTCACCCTCACTGGCCCTCTGCTTCACCAACCATGATGTCCTTCTCCAGCGATCCATCCTTCCTGATGACATGTCCAAAGCAAGGAGATCAGAGAACCTTTGTTGTGATCCATAAGGGTTTCACTGGTGAATTTTCAGAAGTAAATCTCCCGGCCTTTCTTCCTAGTCTGTCTTAGTCTGGAAGGTCTACTGAAACCTGTCCACCATGGGTGACCCTGCTGGAATCTGAAATACTGGTGGCATAGCTTCCAGCATCACAGCAACACTCCAGCCACTGCGGACGGTGACAGACAATGGTGGAATCTAACCTTAAAGGAACAAGTTTTGTTGAACGGAAGCAGCTTAATTCCAGGACACACTCCCTTTCCTAATCCATCCTGTGTCTTCTGATGACAAGTATATTGTTTCTAGCAACTTTCCTTTCTTTAATGGAAGAACACTGGAAAAATAAGGGTCACCTGTTTCTACAGAAACTAAAAACACATCTTGTTACTTGAATGAATTAAAATATTTTCAGAAATGAGAAGAGTTTAGTTTCTAACCCAAGCAATTCAACGTATCATTCACGTAGCATACCCATACCCATTGCTGTCAAGTCGATTCCCACTCATCGCGACCCTCTAGGACAGAGTAGAGCTGCCCCATAGGGTTTCCAAGGCTGTAATGTTTACGGAAGCAGACTGCCACATCTTTCTCCCACGGAGCAGCTGGTAGGTTCAAACTGCTGACCTTCCGGTTAGCAGCTGAGTGCTTAAAACACTGCACCACCAGGATCCCTTATCATCATTATTATTATTTCTCTGTCTGTTGGCTCTTGGGGAAGGTCTTCGTCATCATCAATCTAACTTCTGGTCAAGGAGTTTCTCAGCACAGGGACTCTGCTCCTGGTGCTGCTTTCTTGGTGGTATGAGGTCCCCCATTCTCTGCTCGCTTCCCTTTCTTTTCATCTCTTATAAGATAAAAGGTGGTGCAGGCCATACCTCAGGGAAACTCCCTTTACATTGGATCAGGGATGTGACCTGAGCAAGGGTGTTACATCCCACCCTAATCCTCTTCAACATAATCCAATCTTGCCTCATTAACCACAGGCAGAGATTAGGATTTACAACACATGGGAAAATTATATCACTCACAAAATGGAGAACAGCCACACAATACTGGGAATCATGGCCTAACCGAGTTGACACATATTTTTGGGGGACACAGTTCAGTTCATGACAGTTGTCATGAGTCAGACTCAACTTGACGGCAATGGGATTAATCAGTTGACCTTAATTTAGGAATCCTTGGTTGGTGCAAACTGTTAAAGTGCTCGACTACACTGAAAAGTTGGTGGTTCGAATCCACCCAGAAGTGCCTCAGAAGGAAGGGCCAGTGATCTATCTACTTGGGAAAGATTACAGCCATTGAAAACCCTGTGGCGTGCAATTCTCCTCTGACACACATGGAGTCGCCATGATTTGGAATCGACTTGACTGGGAACTGGTTTGGTTTTATTGTTGCCTTATCTTTGGAGGTTAGCATTTCAAATCCATGAGCCACTTCTTGGAAACCCCATGAGGCAGTTCTGCTCTGTCTGCAGGGTTGCTATGAGTTGGAATCTGCTTGATGGCAACAAGTTTTTTTTTTACATTTGGAGGTCCATGGTGGTGCAAATGGTTAACACAACTCAGTGGCAACTGGTTTTACTTTAACTTAACCCACCTCTCCTAGCACCCTTTCAGCAGTCACAGACTATTTCTCTGTAATTGACACAGTACAAGCTTTTGGTATTTCTATATGCACTCGTGGGCTCTGTCTATAAATAGAAGATAAAACTGAGCCAATTAGCTAAATAGTTCAAGCAAAATCAAGTGTTTTACCTCTTGTATCTGGAAAATATAAACCAAAATGGCAGAGTGCATTATAAAAGTATAAGAGAGCCTTTTGGTATAGCTATTTGTCCCTCCCTGCATTTTGCTTTATGTGGACATTCCTGTGCAGATAACATGTATGGGGTGATCCAGGTAGGTGACTTCATTTTTATTTTATTTTTTTACAAATTGAAATAATAATAATAATGTTCAAATAATAATGCATATTTGAAACACAGGGAAGAAGGTTATACTGTTTTATTTTGGTTAAGGTACAAGATTATAGTATTTAAAAACAAAAAGGGGGAGGAGCCAAAAATGATTAGTGGTTCCCTTAGAGTTGAAATGTTAGTGATTTAAATCAATTAGTGACATTTCCAATTTCTATTTAAAAATATGTTTTAAATTCTTATGCATGAAACTAATGTAGGTTTTAAATTAAATGGAAAACATAGGTAAGATGCTTTGATTAAGGTTCTTCCATGTGATTGCTTGTGTTTCTGCGTCCATAATAAAGTTACCTAATCAGAGCTTATCAGTGATATTTGAAAAATTTAAATAAGTGATAACATATTGAAATTAGAGGAACTTTGAATACTTCATATGCATTTGTTTTTAAAATGTGGGAAATCAGTTTTCAGATAATTTAATGTTCTCTTTTTTTATTTTAAACTCATATTAGCTTTGGTGCTCATTTTCATTTTTTTTTTTTTTCTTTGGTAGTGGTATCATTTTAACTCCCAAACTGCATTTTCACAGGATATCTAATATTTTTTGCAAATAACATTTTGACTCTGTTCTTTTTGCATCTTTATGTTTACACGCATTTTGCATCTGCTCTATTTCATTTTTTGAAATCCAGATGTAATAGATATAAACTTTTTGTGTTATTCTTTTTTTTTTTTTTTCTTTTACTGGATAGTATCTCTCTTCTGGTTTTTTTGCAAACCTGTTGTTTTTGAATTCTCTTTTTTTCCCTTTATTTTCCTTCTCACTGTGACCCCAGGAGCCAACACAAAGAAAAACGCAGATGATATTACCAGTAATGACCGTGGGGAAGATGAAGGTATTTTGTTGCGTTTTCAAAGCTCAACCCTGGTGCATGATTTTGTATCTTATCTATCTCTTCTCTATATAGATATTTTTGTTTTCCACCTGTTTTTCCTCCCCTTCTTTGAAACTAGTACACTTTGGTGTGCTTCTTTATTTTATTCTTATTTGGGAGACCACTGTTATTTTTAATCCCAATTACTATGTAAGATGTCTGCAGATCTCTTGTGAGAAGACATATAAAGTTTGTTTCTAAATGCCAAGTGAGTAAGAAAATGCTATTTCCAAGGAAGTCCACTTTTTTTTTTTCTTTTTCTTTTTTGCTTGGTCACAAGAAGAGAAAATGGAATTTTAAAACATGCATGTATACTTTCTTTTCTTCCTTCTAACAGTTATTTTATAGCCTTCAAAATAACTTGACAACTCAGTGGAACGTTTTTGGGACTGGCATTTCAGTTTTTTTGGCTTTTTTTTTTTGGTTCTTTTCTTTTACAAACATTGATTCCTAAAGTAGGTTTCAAAGAATCTGCTCTGTCTCACAGTGAAGTACATCAAAAAGTGTTTTAACGAGATGTTGTTGTTTCTTACAGGAGTACTGCCATTTAGCAGCATGTAAAGAAAAACATAGGGGTATCTAAGAATTGAAAGAAATGTCAAAAAGCTAGCTATATGCATCTTTCTTTTCAAACCACAGCTATTGTGAAAACATTTTATTTTTCCGGAAATGTTCTGTTGCTATGCACAGTTTCTTCTCAAAGGATCCCCAATTGCGTGACAAATTATCAACCAGAAGTGTAATGATTTTTCTTGAAAAATGGAAGGTATGTGGAATGCAGGCAGACAACCAGCCCATTGTACTCTGCCTCTTCAGCAGAATAAATGGTTTTAAAACAGAAAAAAATAAATAAATACATAAAACAAACCTCTCCTTGCTGAGATGGCTCTGTAGAATGGATAAAAGCACATTTTCCCCATCTCGGTAGCAAAGCACATGGAACTCCATCTATTTCCCTTAAAGGATGAAGGAGTTTGACAAACCTTTAGTTCTATGGTTGAAAGGCGATTTAAACTAGAGAACTGGGCGGTGAGTTATCTCTGCCTGTCAGCTTAACTTCCCCACAAGTGCCTTTTTATCAATTGCTTGTTTTTGCTGCCCTCTTTGATTCCTTTTATAAATCAACTGCTCTCCAAGAAACGAAATTTTGCCAACATTGCTTTCAAGCCTGGTCTTCCCTTAACATTATCTCTTTACTAAGCCCTAAGTTCATAGGACTCTCACTGCCTCAAATAACTTTCTAAGAGATCTCTGATGGTGTTAGAATATTTTCGTCTCTAGCCAACTCATCTTTCAGCTTGTCCTTTGGTAAGGGTTTCAGAATGCCTGCCATTTTATCAGCATTCAAACAAAACAAAACAAACAAAACTTTTTTCTCCTATTGTCTTATACCTTATTCGATTATAATTTTCATCTTTCTGTTTTCTTTTTTAATATATTTCCTTTGCATAACTAGGATGTGTTTGCACGGTACTCACGATGTAGCATTACTACCGTTAAAATGCTGTCTAATTTCCATTTAATACCAATACACTGTGATACGTACTTTTAATTAGTATTACGTCCTGTTATTACTCCTTTAAGTTCAAGAAAATTTTGTTCGCTTTTTCATTAAAGGTAAGAGATATTAACCTAATAGACTCTGAGAGGAACATGAAAGCAAATGTTCAAAATCTTCACTTATTCTTTTTTTCTGTAATTTAGTCACCAACAGCCCCTACTGGTAAAATAAATAAAGGCAGAAAGACCAACACAAGGGGGAAAAAGAAACATTGGATGGTGCAAAACACCATTTCTTATTCAACCAGCAGTTGGTTAAAAAAAAAAAAATTGTGTAGTATATGTTTAACAAAAGGGTAAATACAGTGCAAACTGCATTTGGATTTTATACAAGAAAATAAGAGATTCTTTTGTACTGGATAAAATGTAAACAGAGTTATGAGAAGCGTGAAACTCTTTTTTTTTTTTTTTTTTTACTTTACTGTGACTAGTGCACGGTAGAACCTGTGGGTTTCTCATGCCTTCTCTCAGCTCGTTGGCACCCAGTGAGCATAATTTGAGATCATGGTCTTAATTCACTCCAATAATAGCCACCATCAACAGGACCATATATTGCAGTTTCTCAGAATTTCTTTCCAATATCTCAAAATTGTCTCCATGAATTAAAGGGACAAAAATTTTATTAAATATTTTCTTAAGCGTGGAACGTAGGCTGATTTGGCTGCATAGGTTCCTTTTTCTATAAATTTTCAGAAAGCACACTCTACAAATTCTACCGATTGTCTCAAAATTTCTGTCATCACAGACCATTGCGAAATATTTTTACATCTTTTTTTAATGAAAAGAATTACCAGGGGTACACATTGCTTGCGTATCACAATGGAAATTTGCATTCTCTGAAAATACTGTGCATTTAAATAATTTCACTTTGAGTTTGGAATCTTTTGCCATTTTCATTACATGTCTTTCAGTGTTCACTTAAATATGTTGGGATATACTACAACCAATGAACTAGAACTGTAAGAGTTGCGTGGCATCTTTTTTTTTTTTTAACATGCTTTTCTTCTGTTGACCATTTTTAAACAATTATCTGGCTTGGTTACCATTTGTCCTATATTGACTATACATAGTTTTACTACTACATTTTTTTTTTAAAGTGGAAGATGATTTAATACACTCACTTTTCACTTAAGGTGGCAGTTATATTAAAAATAAATGATAATTTTCGGTTGATTTTACACTTAATTAGACGACGAAAATGTATTTTGGATCGTATGCCATGTGCTTCTTTAGTTTAAATCACCTTGTAGAGTTTGTGCAATATTCAGGAAATTAGTGTTTTCAATTATTTTTTGGTGTTTTACGTCTGTCCATTAGCTGCCGTAGGCATACATGTTACTCGGAATGACTGTACGCTTGTCCGAGAATCGTTTCTATGAATGGAAAATACAGTGACATTGACATTTTCGTAAGTGAGTCATATAATTAATTCACGCATAGAAATGAGATTAAATCAGCTGGAAACTAGGACAATCAAGGAATGGCCTCTGCCCTGTTTTTAGCATCAGTTAATCAGTTTGATTCTTTATTGTCCTTACCTGGCTTTTTTTTCCAGACATCCATGATCAGAACAGTAAGAAGCCAGTTATGGTATATATTCATGGAGGATCCTACATGGAGGGAACGGGCAACATGATAGACGGAAGTATTTTGGCAAGCTACGGAAATGTCATAGTGATCACCATTAACTACAGGCTGGGTATTTTAGGTAAGTGATCACCTCATATTAATGGCTGTGCAAGAGACAACCACGTAAGTCTGCATTTTATTCTGACGGGACTATTTGATTTGAATTGCGTCGCTTGAGTGTCTAGAAAATTCTCCTTTCCAGTGCTCGCTTTTTGTTATTGAGTATGTTTGCTCCAGGAAGACCAGTTGAAACTGTGTTTTAATACCTTCTTATGGTTTGGCCGTTGTTTATCTTGTATAGTTCTTATTCCACTACTTTTATCTTGATGAATCTGCATCCCTCCTTAAATAAATGCAGATTTCAAGGTCATCACATTAAAATTAAATTCTATTTAAAGTCCTTTTCTTTATAAATGCTTTTCTTGTTCAACAACACCCTGTAGAGTGAACATGTCTTTGGTAATTTAGTAGTTGGAAATCACCGTAGATATTAGCTTTTTTTTTTGTTTTTTCTGGTTGTGTACGTGTATTTGATTAGTCTGTTTTTTATAGGAAAATCTTTCATGTAATGTCTTAACCGATTACCTGTGTATTTTAGGCCTTGAAAAGCAGTTGTGTGATTTCATTGCTGTTCATTTGTGTGCAGTGAAACGTCTTTCCTTTGAATTTTGTTGCATTTTGTGGCTTTCAGTTAAAGGACATGGGTCGTGGACATGGAAATTTAGGCTCAGCTGTACGTTGATGTGGTGTTTAATTCATTTTTATCCTAATTGTGAGTTTGAAAATTATATGACTTTGGTGGTAAGATTTTAAGATTTCCCGTCTTGAGTGGCTTTGGCTGCTGTGGTACAGTTCATGAATGATGTCTCTGGAGCTATACAACACACTTGTTTCAAAGCACCGTGCATTTGAATGGTGCAGAAAATTGAGTTTTTAGCAGTGTGACCATTAGAGGGAGAAATCTGTTTTGCAGTGTGGTTATGGTAAACTATGAGCAACTAAAACAGGATGATGGTTCTGTGTCCAGCAGGAACAACGGCTGGGAATGAGCTCTACAGATTGGTAAACATCGCCAAGAATATTTTATTTTCAACGTGCTGTTTTATGTTGAGCATTTTTCCCCCCACTCATATTGGAAAACATTAGCATGTAAAAGACCTCAGGAGGGAATGAGTTGAAATGCATCTGATTTAGGGGTGTTCAAGGCAAAGAACCTACAGCTGTTGGCAACAGTGTGTGATAAAGTACTCCAAATTCCATGTTGGAGTTTACATTAAAGGAAAAAAAAAAAAGACTCAGCATTGTTAAGAAATAATCAAGACTCAAATAAACTAAAACAGAAGTTTGTTCTGAGCAGTTATTCTACATGCATATAAGGGGATCACGCGGATTCCAAAAAACAAAGGACAAATAGCTCCAAGTAGGCTGGTTATGGAGCCCTGGTGGTGCTCTGGTTAAGAGCTACAGCTGCTAACCAAAAGGTTGGCAGTTGGAATCCACGAGGCACTCCTTGGAAACTTTATGGGACAGTGCTGCTCTGTCCTATAGGGTCGCTATGAGTCGGAATTGACTCAAGGGCACTGGCTTTGGTTTTTGTTTCTTTTTTGTCGTTTTTGGTTAGGCTGGGTACAGTGAGGCTTATAAACAGAAGCGGAGGGAGAAGAATAGAGTACTAATCTTAATGTGATTGACCTAACCCTGCCTTCCTCCTTTGCCAAGAGCCACTGATATCAGGTGACAAGGTGGTCTCTGGTCCTCCACCTGCCTGCAGCCAGGATATCTTCTGAGATTTAAATTAAGGGAACCTAGCTTGAAGAGATTAGCAGTTTTGGGTGAACAAAAGCTGATGACGGGATTAATTTTGGGTCCAGATTTTATTTTTTTTTTAAATAAATATTTTATTTTTGGTATTTTGTCTTTTCAAAAATATTTGTCTTCACATTTCCTGCAGAACACATCAGTGTGACATGTCTTTGTCTCTATATAGCTCATATAAAAAGGTTAGGAAGAAAATTGTATCCAGTTTGGCGTGGTGACTGCTAAATGGGGGGAAAGATCTCACTATAATCAATCAAAACAGAACAACCTGTACAGAACTATTTAAAGGTCCTCAGAGCATAGATAACTTCAAAAAAAAATTGAGTGCACGTTCTAAACTAGCTGAATATAATTTAATGACATGGCAAAATCTAATAAATGTGAGGAATTTTTTTTTTTTAAGGTTCGTATTTGGTTTCATGGGTAAGAAAAACCTTAAAATCAAAGTAAGGTGCTTATTATTAATTTTTCTTCCAACAGTGTCAAGAACCTTCTTATTTCTTTTTTTTTTTTAATTTTGTTTTCTTTTCATTGGGTTCCATGAGCCAGGTATTTGTGAAATACATTTAATTAATTTTGCATAGACATGTGTGCATGCGTCTCCAAATCTCGTTCCCCTCCCGCCCCCAGAAGCTTTGGGCTCATTGCTTTGACCGCTGGTGTGCGACACAGGAAATCAGGTTCCTTTATCTCTTACAAAAGGTCCGTTCTAACAAAGAGGGAGAGAGAGAAAACAAGAAGGACATTGCACAGGGTCCTTTCAAAGAACTCAATGTACTTGACTGGGAGGAGTGATAGCAAGCTGTGGAGGGACTCTGGGGCAACGTCTGCTGAATGAAGCAAGAGACAATTAGCAAATCACTGCGTTGGGAGGGAGGGGACAGCAAACTGTTCTCTTATGTTAAAACAAACATCACGTTAAGCCAATAATAGAAACTGATTGACGTGTATTGAATATACGACTTTGCAAGTAGGGGTAACGTTTCTACCAGGCAGTCAGGAATATTCTGAAACTGTTACCGCAAGTACGCAGATTGGAGCCGCCTGCCGCAATAGCCAATTCTGAGACGGGGTGAGGTGAGCAGCAAGAGTTTTATTATATATCGATATATAGGAGACAGAGGGGAATAGATTCCTCCAAAAACCTGTCTTCCGCACCAGAGATCGGCTGAAGGCTTTATAGGGACAGGATTATGGGTCTTAGAAGTTTGTGTTAGTTCCCCCTTTTTTTGAGGGGGAAGTTTTGAGGTGGTCACGTCCCAGATGAGTTAATCTTTTCTTGGGGGTTATCTGGCGACATCCTGGTTTTCTTGTCCCAGGACGGGTGCTTTGTTCTGTTTGTCATTCCTAGATCATTATCACTTGTTTTCCACCCTTCAAGGAGGAACATCAGTTAATCTGAAACGTTTTATAGAGACTGGAACCCAAGGGAAAAATCAAGATCATGAGCCAATGCGGGGATTAGCGATGGGGAGTAATGACAGTGAGCCGGACCTATGCAGCCTCTTCCCAAAATGTGAGATACTCCAGACACTCTTAGACCAAATCTTACCAGCATCACCATGGAAAAACAGATCTGGATAGAGATGAGAAACAAATTCATGGGCAGGAAGGACTTCATACAGCATTGACTTGAAGAACAATTGAAATAATCACCGATTTACCCCAAACATAGCTCTCAGTCTAACCCTTGGAGTCTGTTTTCTGAAACTGACTGAATTCTTCAAAAGAGCACGATGACCGAGGCAAAATGTCTGACTAGTTTCTCTAGCCCCCAGTTTGACTCAAAGACCACCTCCACGAACCAGTTTCTCTAAGGCTCAAGGTTCAAAAGGACACCCAAGGGCAAATGGCCTGCGTGGGTCACCTCAACTCTGTGGATCCCAAAATATGGATTCCAGGAGAATTAAAAGTTTCTCGCTTGTATGCATAATGTGTTGATGTTACTTACAAGGTTGATTTCCCAAAACTTGATTTTTCCCAAAGCTGACTTGTATTAAGCAGCTCTAGGGTTTGGGGTTTCTTGTCCGTTCGATCCACTGGTGAATACATTGATGATCTCACAAAGTAGTATCAGAAATTTGGCTATTTAGTAGTATCGAAGTAGTGTACAGTAGTATGTCTATTGTGGGCAGTAATATCAAAGTGTACAGTAGTATCTCTCTCATGGGTAGTAGTATCGAAGTAGTGTACAGTAGTATCTCTTTCGTGGGTAGTAATATCAAAATGTGCAGTGGTATCTGTCATGGGCAGTAGTATCGAAGTGTACAGTAGTATCTCATGGCTAGCAGTATCAAAGTAGTGTACGGTAGTATCTCTATCGTGGGTAG